TCTAAGGGAGGAGGAGGACTAGTAGAAGGCGGAAGACTAAGAACCTGTTGAAGGAGTGGAACGAAGTACGGCCGAGGCCTCGCGGCGACTCCAGACACAGCAGGGACAGCACCAATACCCCTAGCGGCAGAACCTCCAGCTCCAGTACCCCCAGCAGCTCCAGTAGCTCTAGGACCCCCAGCAGCAGCCTCAGCGCCAACACCCTCAGCAGCTCTAGCTCCAGTCGTGCTCGCAGGCCCAGCAGCTCCAGTACTCCCAGTACGAGCACCTCCGGGACCCGCGACAACACCACCCTCAGTAGCCGAAGAACCTCCAGCTCCAGCAGCACGCCTCCAGCGCCGGGCAAACCACTCGCGCAGCTCCTGTGGATAACCTCCAGGCATGGTACCGCCAGATGCGACACGAGCGGGCCCAGCTCCCTCAGGCTCCGCACCCCCAGACTCCGCACCCCCAGGCTCCGCACCCCCAGTCGTAGCACCCCCAGGCTCAGCACCCCCAGGCGTAGCACCCCCAGGCTCAGCACCACCAGTCGCAGTAACCCCAGGCTCAGCACCCCCAGGCTCAGCACCCCTAGTAGCAGCACCCTCAGGCTCAGCATCCTAGGCGCAGTACCCACACGCTCAGCACCCTTAGCAGCACCAGAGTCACCAGCAACCTCTTCAGGCTCGACTGCGTCTACCTGGGACACACTTGAAGGGGCAGGACCCTGAGGGGGGAGGGGGTCTACCGGGGGGGGGGACCTGGTACAAGGAAGAGCGATGGCGGGGGAAGGGACGGAGTGCGGTAGGGGAAGAGGCGGTAGTAGTGGACCGACTCGTCAAACATGACGTCCTGGGAGGACAGAACACGGCGAGAGGTGGGGTGGTAGAACTGCCACCCTGGCGCGTCAGGGGGGAAACCCAGGAAGACGCAAGGAGCAGCACGAAGGGACAGCTTGTCTGCACACAAGTCGCGGACAAACGCCCGAGATCCCCAGACACGGAACGCAGACGCATCGCCAACCTTCCCCGTCCACAGCAAGGCTAGGGAGGTCTCCGGCATGGAGACCCTGGGCTGAAGGTTGATCTGATGCGCCGCGTACCAAACCGCAAACGGCCATAGAAAATGGGGGGCAACCGCATGCATCATGGACGTACGAGCGACGTCCATGACCATGCCAATGCGGCGCTCAGCAATCCCATTTTGCTGTGGAGATCCCGGAAGCGTAAAGGTCTGGCGGATGCCTCGTGCACGACAGTAGGCTCGCAGAAGGTCAGAGGAGAACTCTCCGCCTCTATCAGAGTGCAGACGCAGAACAGGAAAGTACGAGCCGAAGCTCTGCCTGATCTGGAGACGAGCTGCGCGGATCCAGTCGATCAACACCTCAGTGACATCACCCTTGCTGCGCAAGGGGAAGACTGTGGTGTAACGCGAGTAGTCGTCAACCACCAGCAGGAAGTAGCGCTCGTGACCCTGTCCACGGACGCGGGCTGGGCCCCACACGTCCATGTGAAGCGTCTGCAACGGGGCCTCTTTCGGAGGAAACTGGGAGGAGTGAGGGGCAGCACGCTGCCGCCCCTCGACGCATGGGACGCAAGCAGGGGCAGGCACCGGGGGAAGGGGAGGGAGGGACCGGGGAAGACCAGAGACAAGGACACGGGACGCCATGCCTCGGAGACGAGGCAGGGAGGGGTGACCAAGGCGGTGATGCCAAAGGAGAGTCTCGTGAGACAGGAGACGACACGAGCAGGGGGCAGACCCAGGACCAGACCTGAACGCTGCAGCAAACACCTGACCCGACGCAGCTACCCGACCAGACGCAGTGACTGGAGGAGACTCAGTGGTCAGTGTGTACAGGCTCGACCCCGGCCGACGTGTAAACGTGGCCAAGTGTCGGCCCGTCCGAGCCTCAGTGCAGTGTGTCACCCGCTGGCTCGCAGGAGTGAACTGGTGCACTCCCGCATCCTGTAGGTCAGGACCACTCACCAAGTTCGTAGAGAACGAGGGGAGGTAAAGACCAGACAGGGTGCTAGAGGGAGCTGCCGGACACGGGAGGACAGTGGAGAAGTGAGCAAGGACAGGACCCCCAGAGGGGTCTGCCAGAGAGACTGCAACTGGCCGACCAAGCGGTGTGAGTGTGGTGCGGTCTCGAAAGAAGGAGCGAGAAGCCCCCGAGTCAAGGGTGAAGGTGAGGGAGGCCTAAGCCGACGTAGTACCTGAGAGAGCAGACTCACCAGCACCTGAGGAAGCAGACGCACTAGCACCTAGAGCAGTAGCCTCGCTAGCACCAAGAGCAGCAGCCTCACCAGTACCTAAAGCAGCAGTCTCAATGCCCGGGTCGGGCGGAAAACACCGGTAACAGTCACCCTCATCACTAGTAGTCACAGCATACATGGCAGCAAGAATAGCATCAAAGTCAAGGTCAAAGATAGCTACTCCCGCCCTAGACAGCTCGCCCCAGCGAGGGATCTCAGTGGCCTCAGGGAACTGGTGACGCCAAGCGTCCGTAAGGCGGCCAAAGCAGCGCTATGTGGAGTGCGCACCCCCGCACTGCTCACCCGCGCGGTCGCTGGTGCGCAGGACGTAGGTGCATGGACCAGTACCTCCACCCCGCTGGCGTGCAGCGTACCACTCACGGAGCTACTGAGGGGGGGGGATGTCACGAGTGCGCTGCTGCTGCTGCTTCTGGTGCTGGCGCTGACCACCACCGGAGCCGACCCTCTGCGCAGCGCCACCCCGACTAGCTCCACCTCCTCCGCCTCCGCCTCCTCCTCCGCCGCCACCTCCGCCACCTCCGCTCCCACCGCCACCGCTGCCTCCGCCTCCGCCTCCACTGCTGCCACTGACACCTCCACCCCCGCCACCACTCCCACCACCACCCCCACCCCCTCCACCGGCTCCACCACCACCTCCACCATCCCCGCCAGCTCCTCCAACGCCCTTGCCCCCCTTGCCCTTGCCTGTGCGGCGCTTCCCTGAAGGGGCAGACGCAGCGCCGACCGACTCGAAACCAACAAGGTTGGCCGCAGCAGCATAAGCAACAGAGGGCAAGAGGGGTGAGGGAGAACACCCCTCAAAGACGGGGGTGCGAGGGTCACCACGAGAGGCTCCTACAGCGACTATGCTCTTCTCTGCTGCTAGGAGGGCCTTCTCGAGGAGGTCAACGGTGAGAGTGGTGGGGCACACTGAGAGGAAGTGGTCCCTGACTACGCGGAGAGAGTCAGGGAGCCGGGCGACTATGTAGTAGAGGGTGATGTACATGGGGGGGGGGGGGTTCTTGGCGCATAACTCAGCAGGAAGCGCAGTGCGGTAGCGAGTGTCACTAGTGTGGAGGTGCGTAATGAGGTCAGTGACTGTGGGAAAGGCAGCAAGGTCAGGGAAGAGGTACGGTAGCATGAGGCGGCTAAGTGCAGCAGTGGCAGGGGAGGAGTAGCGTGCAGCTACAGCGTCGTACAAGGTCTTAGCACTCTTGTACTGGCTAAAGTGCGCACGCTCAGAGGTAGGCAGGCGGCGGCGCACAGCAAGACGTGCAGCAGCATCGCGTGTGGCCCACTGTGAGCGAACAGTGGCGTCAGCAACAGCAGCAGGGGCAGGAGAGGCACCAGAGGTGAGGTCAAAGAGGGAGAGACCGTCTGCCCTATCGCACTGTAAGAAAATCTGCAGGTCATCTATCCAGACGTCAAAGTCAATGGCCCGACCCTCAGCGTCAAAAGCGAGGACACTAGGGGTAGCCATGACAGCAGTAGACTAGCAGCGCGAACAGTAGGGTAAGGGCAGTGCAGTGGCAGAGGCGCTGTTCTTATCGGACAGGGCGACTCGGGCGGCTCGGTGGTGCGGGCGGCTCGGCTGCAGGGCGACTCGGTGGCTCGGCTGCTTGTCGGCTCGGCGGCTCGGCTGCTGGGCGGCTCGGTGGCTCGGCGGCTCGGCTGCTCGGCTGCTGGGCGGCTCGGCGGCTCGGCTGCTGGGCGGCTTGGCGGCTTGGCTGCTGGGCGGCTTGGCGGCTCGGCGGCTCGGCTGCTGGGTTGGCGGCGGCGGCTCCAGCCTCAGGGACAGCAGCGGCCGGCCGCTAGGGGCCGCGAAGGGCGGCAGAGGGGCCGTGAAGGGCGGCACTAGGGGCCGCCAAGGGCGGCGACGGGCCGTGAGGAGGCCGCGGAAGGTGGCTCGAGGGGCCGCGAGGGGGGCCGTAAGGGGCCGACGGGTAGGCCCGTAAGGGTAGGGCGAGGGGCCGTAAGGGGCCGTAAGGGCGGCTCGAGGGGCCGTACGAGCAGCGCGATGGGCCGTAAGGCGGCGTTAGGAGCCGTAAGGGTGGCACGAGGGGCCGTAAGGGCGGCGCGACGGGCGTGACGGGCCGTAAGGGCGGCACGAGGGGCCGTAAGGGCGGCGCAACGGGCCGTAAGGGCGGCGCGACGGGCCGTAAGGGCGGCGCAACGGGCCGTAAGGGCGGTGCTAGGAAGCCGTGAGAGGGCCGCTAAGGGCGACGCGACGGGGCTGTGAGGGGCCTAGCGAGGGCGCGACGGTAGGAAGAGGGCACGGGGCGCGACTCGGGCCTGAGCGAAGCGCGCTTCGGGCAGAAAAATAAAATTTCGTGGTGGTGGGACCTAGGAATCATTCCCACTAGGGAACCTGCTCCATACCATGAGAAGAAACGAGGAATGAATCAACTATGAAAGAGTTGGGTACAAGTACTAACCCTAATTGGGTTGTACCCCTTATGGGCTACCCCACTACAGCCTACACAAATGTATAAGCTATGATATTCTGACAAGAGCAGACTCACCAGCACCTGGGGCAGCAGACACACTAGCACCTGGAGTAGCAGCCTCACCAGCACCTAGAGCAGCAGCCTCAATGCCCGGATCAGGCGGAACACACAGGTGACAGTCACCCTCATCACTACACAGCATACATGGCAGCAAGAATAGCATCAAAGTCAAGATCAAAGATAGCTACCCCTGCCCTAGACAGCTCTCCCCAGCGAGGGATCTCAGTGGCGTCAAGGAACTGATGACGCCAAGCAACCGTCAGGCGGCCGAAGCAGCGCTGGGTGGAGTGCGAGCCACCGCACTGCTCACCAGCGCGGTCGCCTGTACGGAGAACGTAGGTGCATGGACCAGTACCCCCACCCCGCTGACGCCCAGCGTACCACTCACGAAGCTGCTGAGGGGACAGGGTCTCACGGCCGCGCTGCTGCTGCTAGCGCGAACCACCACCGGAGCCACTCCTCTGCGCAAAGCCGCGACCAGCTCCACCGCCACCTCCGCGGCCTCCGCCGCCTCCGTCGCCTCCGCCACCTCCTCCACCACCGCCGCCTCCGCTCCCTCCGCCACCGCCGCCGCCTCCTCCGCCTCCACTGCTATCACCGACACCTCCGGCCCCGCCACCACTCCCACCACCACCCCCACCCCCTCCACTGCCTCCACCACCACCTCCACCGCCCCCACTAGCCCCTCCAGCGCCCTTGCCCCCCTTGCCCTTGCCTGTGCGGCGCTTCCCGGAAGGGGCAGACGCAGCGCCGACCGGCTCAAAACCAACGAGGTCGGCCGCAGCAGCAGAAGCAACAGAGGGCAAGAGGGGGGAGGGAGAACACCCCTTAAAGACGGGGGTGCGAGGGTCACCACGGGAGGCTCCTACAGCAAATATGCTCTTCTCTGCTGCTAGGAGGCGCTCCTCGAGGAGGTCAACGGTGAGTGCGGTAGGGCAAACCGAGAGGAAGTGGTCCCTGACTAAGCGAAGGGAGTCAGGGAGTCGGGTGACTATTTAGTAGAGGGTGATGTACATGGGGGGGGGGGGTTCTTGGCACAGAACTCAGCGGGAAGCGCAGCGCGGTAGCGAGTGTCACTAGTGCGAAGGTGCGTAATGAGGTCAGCGACAGTGGGAAAGGCAGCAAGGTCAGAGAACAGGTACGGTAGCATGAGGCGGCTAAGTGCACCAGTGGCAGGGGAAGAGTAGCACGCAACTACAGCGTCGTACAAGGTCTTAGCACTCTTGTACTGGCTAAAGTGCGCACGTTCAGTGGTCGGTAAGTGGCGACGCACAGCAAGACGTGCAGCAGCATTGCGTGTGGCCCACTGTGAGAGAACAGTGCTGTCAGCAGTAGCAGGCGGGGCAGGAGAGACACCAGAGGTGAGATCGAACAGTGAGAGTCCGTCCGCCCTATCGCACTGTAAGAACAGCTGAAGGTCATCGACCCAGACCTCAATGTCAACAGCACGACCCTCAGTATCAAAGGTAAGGACACCGGGGGTAGCCATGACTCCAGTGGTCTATCAGGGAGGGAGCTCACCAGTCCAAGGAAGTGGGGCCGGGGTGCGCCGGAATGAAGGGCGGCTCGGCGGCTCGGCTGCTGGGCGGCTCGGCGGCTCGGCTGCTTGGCTGCTCGGCAGCTCGGCTGGTGGGCGGCTCGGCGGCTCGGTTGCTGGGCGGCTCGGCGGCTCGACTGCTGGGCGGCTCGGCGGCGCGGCGGCTGGGCGGCTCGGTGGCTCGGCTGCTGGGCGGCTCGGCGGCTCTGCTGCAGGGCGCCTCGGCTGCGGGCCTGCTGGCGGCATGGAAGGGGCCACGAGGGTCGGCGTCGGGGCCGGTAGGGTGGCGTCGGGGCTGCTGAGGGCGGCGACAGGGCCGCGAGGGTCGGCAACGGGGCCGGAAGGGTCGGCGACGGGGCCGCTGAGAGCGGCGACGGGGCCGGTAGGGTCGGCGACGGGGCTGCTGAGGGCGGCGACGGGGCCGGTAGGGTCGGCGACGGGGCCGCTGAGGGCGGCGATGGGGCCGGCAGGGTCGAGGACGGGGCCGGCGAGGGCGGCGACGGGGCCGATAGGGCGGCGACGGGGCCGCGGATGGCGGCGACGGGGCCGCAGTGGCCGGCGACGGGGCCGCAAGGGCGGCGACGGGGCCGCAAGGGTCGGCAACGGGGCCGACAGGGCGGCGACGGGGCCGCAAGGGTCGGCGACGGGGCCGACAGGGCGGCGACGGGGCCGCTTCGGGCGGCGACGGGGCCGCAAGGGTCGGCGACGGGGCCGGTAGGGCGGCGACGGGGCCGCTTAGGGCGGCTACGGGGCCGCTAGGGTCGGCAACAGGGCCGGCAAGGCGGCGACGGGGCTGCGAGGGTCGGCTACGGGGCCGGCAGGACGGCGACGGGGCCGTGAGAGGGGCCAAGAGGGGCCGTGAAAGGGGGCCGCTAGGGGCCTGAGGAGGGCGCGACGGGCCGCTAGGGGCTAGGGACGCGACGGTAGGGAGGGCACACGGGGCGCGACTCGGGCAAAAGCGAAGCACGCTCCGAGCAGGAAAAAAAAATAAATTTGTGGTGGGCCCTAGGAAGCGTTCCCACTAAGGAACCTGCTCTGATAGGTAGGCTGTAGTGGGGTAGATACTGTGGGGTACAACCCCTTACGTTTCCTTCTTATACCAAAAAAACCACTCGATAGTCAAACTCACATCTGCCTAGTCTCTAAGATGGAATACACAGCAGTAGGTCTTCAGGACTTAAGATTAGGGCCCACCTGTTACTGCGTTACCTCACCTACGGCCTTGCCTATCTGCCTGCCTTGCCTATCTGCGTGCCTTGCCTGCTGCCCGCGCACGCCTCGGTTGCAAGCGCGCGTATATTTTTTTTTAGCGCGCGCTGCTTAAGCAGCCCGCGCAGCCTGTTTTCGGCCCTGCGCGCCGCGTCAGCCGCCCGCGCAGCCTGCTGCCGGCCCGCACGCCGCTTTAGCCGCCCATGCGCAGCCCGCTTAGGGCCCGCGCGCTGCGTCCGCCGCCCGCGCAGCCCGCTGCAGCCCCGCGCGTCGCGTCTGCCGCCTCCGCAGCCCGCTGCTGCTCTGCTAGCTGCCTTAGTAGCGTGCGTGGCTTTCTGCTGCCTCGCACGCCGCCTTAGGAGCATGCGTGCGGCCCCTTGCTGCCCTGCACGCCGCTGTAGGAGCCCGCACACGGCCTGCTACTGCCCCGCGTGCTGCCTCAGCTTCCTTTGCTGGTGGCACTGCACAGCCGCACCTGTTATTCGCTCCGCCGTCTCCGTCGTCTCAGCCACCGCTTGACTCTGCGCTTTGCCAGGTTCTCAGTCTCCCTTCTTCTACTAGTCTTCCATTACAGCCTGGCTCACCGCTGCCTGCTCCTTCTCCGTACACTGAGCAGACAGGGGGCGTTGCTGAGCGTCGTGAGCCTGCGTCGCGTTTTGTCTCGCCTGTCTGTTCTGGTCGTTCCGGTCGTCGTGTTCCTCGTCCTCGTCAGCCGGCTGTCCCCGGCACCCACCTTGTAGTCCGTCGTCCTTCCTCTCCTATGCCGCGTGTTCCTCTGCTATCTCCCCCTGAGTCCTCTCTGCCTGACGTTGCGGACCCTGAGTCTGACCAGTTTGTACTGAGCACCCTACTGTCACGCGTCTGTTAGCCACTGTTGTCACTGACCCGTCGTTTGAGTCCACTGCTGCGTCTGCCCTAGTCGCTGAGCTTGTCGACTTTGCTCCCGCCTGTCGTCTAGACTACGCTGCTAGTCTTGTTGCTGAGTCTGAGTCTGTCTGTCCTCCGTCAGTCAGGGTTGAATGTGCTCTTAGAACGGACGTCCTTGAGGACAGGCACGAGGACCTTGAGTGTCTTGCGGCCGCTGCGCCTCATCTCGTGGCCATGCTGCTTGCCCCTGAGGGAGACCGGATGCACCAGACATCCCGACCCGGCGCTCTTACGCCGAGGCGATCGGGGGTGAGTACTCTTCTTAGTGGCAGACAGCCATGGACGCAGTGATGGCATCCTGGATGTCCACAGGCACGTACGTCGATGAGGTTCTCTCTCCCGGGGAGAACATCGTCGACGGCATGTGGATTTTCAGGGTGAAGCGGCCACCAGGTTCTTCGCCTATCTTCAAGGCTCGTTACGTTGCTCGAGGCTTCAGTCAGCGAGAGGGAGTTGACTTCTTCCAGACCTTCTTCCCCACCCCGAAGATGACCACTCTTTTTGGGTGCTGCTGCACGTTGCCGCTCAGCGTGACTACGAGCTTCACTCTCTTGACTTCAGCATAGCTTTCTTACAGTGCAGCCTACACGAGGAGATATGGCTGCACCGCCCGCCTGACTTCACTGGGTCGTTCCCTCCTGGTACCCAGTGGAGCCTCTGGCGGCCGGTCTACGGTCTCCACCAGGCGCCACGTGAGTGGCACGACACACTGAGGACGACACTTGCGGCTCTTGGGTTTACTCCGTCGACTGCTGACCTGTCGCTGTTTCTGCGCACCGACACTTTGCTGCCGCCGTTCTACATCCTCGTGTACGTCGACAACTTGGTCTTTGCCACTGCTGACACTGAGGCTCTCGCCCTGGTGAAGTCGGAGCTGAAGAAGAAACATACGTGCACATACCTGGGTGAGCTGCGCAGTTACCTTGGCTTGCAGATCACCCGGGACAGAGCACGCCGCACCATCACCCTGACTCAGTCACACATGGTGCAGCAGGTCCTTCAGCGCTTCGGCTTCACCTGGTCCTCGGCACAGGCCACTCCTCTAGCTACAGGTCACTCGCTCTCAGCTCCACCTTCGGACGAGTCCGTAGAGCCAAGTGGTCCTTACCTAGAGCTAGTGGATTGCCTCATGTACCTGATGACCTGCACTCATCCTGACCTCGCGTACCCTCTTGGCATTCCGACTCGCTACGTGGCTCCTGGTCGGCAGCAAAAGGTGCACATGGATGCTGCTAACAGGGTACTGCGCTACTTGTGCAGTACATCGGGCATGGGGCTCGTGCTTGGAGGGCGGGGTCCAGTTGTCCTCACTGGGCACTCAGACGCTTTTTGGGTTGACGACCAGGCTGCACAGTGGTCGTCACAGTGTTACCGGTTCAGCCTTGGTTCCGGCTCTGTTTCTTGGCGGTCTACATGCTCGTCTTCTGTTCTCAGCTCCAGTTGTAAGGCTGAGATCTACGCCAAAACCATGGCTGCACAGGAGTTACGCTGGCTCACCTACCTGCTGACCGACCTGGGAGAGCGGCCTCGTTCTCCTCCAGTTTTGTACGTAGACAACAAGGCCGCCATTGCCTTGTGTCAGGAGCACACACTGGAGCACAGAACAAAGCACATCCCTCTGCGTTACTTCCTGGCTCGAGAGTTGCAGAAGCGGGGTCAGCTTCGCCTTGCTCACGTGGCTACTCGGGCCAACACTGCTGATATATTCACCAAGGCACTTCCGTCTGGTGACCATCAGCGCTTTTGTACTTTGTTGGGCCTTGTGCCTACGTTTCCACACTTACTGTAGTCTCTGCTTGTACTGTGATCTATAAATATATATACTTGTGTGAGAATAGTGAGCAGAGTGAGGAGCCATAGCTAGGGTTTAGCTAGCTAGGCAAGAGAGAAATGAAGAAAGGAGGGGTTTCACTAGCAGCAGTTGGGATACATATAGCAAACCCTAACAGGGTTGTACTCGCTATAGAGCACCCCACTACAGGCTAGATAATAACATTTTGACACACCCCCATAGCCAAAGTGGGGTGTAATCAGTAGAGCACACAGTCATAGAGCAGGTTCACAATGGCAAGCAAAGCTAGAGGCTATCATAGAGGGCAAGTGAGGAGGAGGAGAGTACTGTGGACGGAGAGAAGATGGGAGGCAACGACTGAAGCTGCAGAGGCACGGGCACAGGAGCGGCTGACTCAATGGATACCGAAGCAAGGGCGACGGACTACTGGAGTGACTGGCTCCGCGGCTAAGACGAGCGGCAGGAGCAACGGACCCACTGGCGACTGGTGCAACAGGCTCACTGGCTACCGAAGCAAGAGCGACGGACTACAGGCGCTGCAGGCGACACGACAGCTACCTCCGCACAACCTCCTCCAACTGACCCACACCCTTGACACACACCCCCTGCTGAACCCCTAACTCCACTCCCACGTCACCCCCCTAGCACCACTCCTTCGGCTCCCACACACCCACCCCCCTGAGCGGCAGCTGCAGAAGCGGGAGATGGAGGAGGAGGAGCAGGGGACGGCGCACACAACCGGCACCCCCACAACCGTCCCCCCCACACTCCCCACCCCCAAACCCTAAAGCGGGTGGCATGGGGTAGGAGCGCGGGGGACGGCAAGGAGGACGGCGCGCGGCCCCCAGGGCGCCACCACGGGGCAGCGAGGAGCCGCGCGCGGCTCCCCTGGGCACCGCAACGTGAAGGGCGGGGGCGGCGCGTGCTCCCCAGGGCGCCACCACGGGGCAGCGAGGGGCCGCGCGCGGCTCCAGGGGTGGCGCGCGGCCCCCAGGGCGCCACCACGGGGCAGCGAGGGGCCGCGCGCCGCTCCCCAGGGCGCCGCGACGTGAAGGGTGGGGGCCGCGCGTGCTCCCCAGGGCGCTGCGACGAGCAGGGCGGGGGCCGCGCGTGCTCCCCAGGGCGTCGCGACGAGCAGGGCGGGGGCTGTGCGCGGGTCCCCAAGGTAGGAAACCGCCGCGCGCCTCGGGGCGCACGGCGGGCAGAAAACCGCCGCGCGCCCCGAGCGCACGGCGGTCATAAAACCTGAAAAAAAAATCGCCGGCAGGAAGAAGGAGTCGCACGCCACGGGGCGTGCAACAGACAGAGTAGCAGCAGAAGTAGTTAGGTGGGCCCACAGGCCAGGAGCGTAGATGCTCTAATAGCATGTGAGAATAGTGAGCAGAGTGAGGAGCCATAGCTAGGGTTAGCTAGCTAGGCAAGAGAGAAATGAAGAAAGGAGGGGTTTCACTAGCAGCAGTTGGGATACATATAGCAAACCCTAACAGGGTTGTAATCGCTATAGAGCACCCCACTACAGGCTAGATAATAACATTCTGACATCCTGCATGCTTGCTCTTGCAAGGTAGAGATCACTGTACTGTTCTTGTTGCGTATATACCTCTGCATGTGAACTGGTCTTGTGGCCATTTGCTTGTGCTCAGTGTGTGTGGTGACGTTGTGATCCACCCTGAGCTTGTTTTGCTTTCCTTGACTGGTCTTGTGACCTCTTGCTCTCCCCCACTTTGCATATGGGGGTGTGTCAAACATATGCATATGTTATATTTCTAGGTAGGCTATAGTGGGGTAGATACTGTGGGGTACAACCCCTTAGGTTTCCTTCTTGCACCAAAAAAACCACTCGATAGTCAAACTCACTTCTGCCTTGTCTCTAAGAGTTACCACCCGAAGTGGAGCATATCCGTCGCGATCCAGAGGGGAGGTCTTGCGACGTTGTTCCATGATTGGCCAGCGACAAAACCAGTCATACCGAGTGAAGGGTCGGAGGGCAATGGAGCACTGTTCACTTTCAGTAAACTTGAAAACCATGTTGTACTAAATGGCAGGCATATTGAAAGCCCACATTTACTTAGTTCACCCTTTTTTCATGCCCAAACTTTCTTCGTATCACTCCTTTTCTTCGTAGCTCTCAGCTATATTAGTACAGCAGCCTATTTGGTGACAAATACGAACAGCCAATCATAAAACCAGTCGGAGATGTCCCATTTATACAATAACTAGAGAGCTCACATGCGTGTGCGGTGCGCACCCAACCGGATATAGTTACTCGCGCGACGGCAACACCCTGCACGTCACAATTCCATCCAACCCCCCAGGCGTCTAACCCGGGTTGCGCATCTAGACGGTCGCACGGTCGAGGGTCAAGTATATCCCTTCCGACTGTTGCTCTCCCTTCCGCCGTCGCTCTCCCTTCCGCCCGTCGCACTTCACTCCCCCTCGTCGCCCTGCCTTCCATCCGTCGCCCACCCTTGTTCCCGTCGCCCTCCCTTCCCGTCGCCCTCCCTTCCCGTCGCCCTCCCTTCCCGTCGCCCTCCCTTCCCGTCGCCTTCCCTTCCCGTCGCCCACGCTTCTTCCCATCGCCCTCCTGCTTCTCGTCGCCATCCCTTCCGCTCGTCCCCTCGCTTTCCCTGTCTCCCTCTCTCCCCGTCGCCCTCGTTTGTCCCTCCCCGTCGCCCTCTCTTTCCCCGTCGCCCTCGCTTTCCCCGTTGCCCTCGCTTTCCCCGTCGCCCTCGCTTTCCCCGTCGCCCTCGCTTTCCCCGTCGCCCTCGCTTTCCCTGTCGCCCTCGCTTTCCCCGTCGCCCTCGCTTTCCCCGTCGCCCTCGCTTTCCCCGTCGCCCTCGCTTTCCCCGTCGCCCTCGCTTTCCCCGTCGCCCTCGCTTTCCCCGCCGCCCTCGCTTTCCCCGTCGCCCTCGCTTTCCCCGTCGCCCTCGCTTTCCCCGTCGCCCTCGATTTCCCCGTCGCCCTCGCTTTCCCCGTCGCCCTCGCTTTCCCCGTCGCCCTCGCTTTCCCCGTCGCCCTCGCTTTCCCCGTCGCCCTCGCTTTCCCCGTCGCCCTCGCTTTCCCGGTTGCCCTCGCTTTCCCCATCGCCCTCGCTTTCCCCGTCGCCCTCGCTTTCCCCGTCGCCCTCGCTTTCCCCGTTGCCCTCGCTTTCCCCGTCGCCCTCCTTTCCCCGTCGCCCTCGCTTTCCCCGTCGCCCTCGCTTTCCCCGTCGCCCTCGCTTTCCCCGTCGCCCTCGCTTTCCCCGTCGCCCTCGCTTTCCCCGTCGCCCTCGCTTTCCCCGTCGCCCTCGCTTTCCCCGTCGCCCTCGCTTTCCCCGTCGCCCTCGCTTTTCCCGTCGCCCTCGCTTTTCCCGTCGCCCTCGCTTTCCCCGTCGCCCTCGCTTTCCTCGTTGCCCTCGATTTCCCCGTTGCCCTCTCTTTCCCCGTCGCCCTCGCTTTCCCCGTCGCCCTCGCTTTCCCTGTCGCCCTCGCTTTCCCCGTCGCCCTCGCTTTCCCCGTCACCCTCGCTTTCCCTCCCGTCTCCCTTCCCATCTCGCACACTTGCCACCCTCTCTTTTCTCTCCCTACTCCCTGTTTTCCCTCCCTCAAATAATCGCCTTCCTTCCCCCAACTTATACCCCTTCCTTGCTTCCCCCCATCTGCTTCCTTGCTTCCCCCCATCCCCTGCCCTGCTTCCCCCCATCCTCTTCATTCTTTCCCCGTATCCCCAGCCCTGCTTTCCCCATCCCCTTTTCTGCTTCCCCACCTCCCCTGCCCTGCCCACACCCATCCCCTTCCCTACTCCCCCCCATCCTCTTGCCCTGCTCCCCCCCATCCCTTCCCTGCTCCCCCCCATCCCTTCCCTGCTCCCCCCCATCCCCTTCCCTTCTTCCCCCCATCTGCTTCTCTGCTCCCCCCCATTCCCTTCCTTGCTTCCCTCATCCCCTGCCCTGCTTCCCCATGTCCCCTGCCCGGCTTCCCCCCATCCCCTTCCCTGCTTCCCCCCATCCCTTCCCTGCTTCCCCCCATCCCCTTCCCTGCTTCCCCCCATCTCCTTCCCTGCTCCCCCCCATCTCCTTCCTAGCTCCCCCCCATCCCCTTCCCTGCTTCCCCCCATCCCCTTCCCTGTTCCTCCCCATCCCCTTCCCTGCTTCCCCCTATCCCCTTCCCTGCTTCCCCCCATCCCCTTCCCTGCTCCTCCCCATCCCCTTCCCTGCTTCCCCCCATCTCCTTCCCTGCTCCCCCCCATCTCCTTCCCTGCTTCCCCCCATCCCCTTCCCTGCTTCCCCCCATCCCCTTCCTTGTTCCTCCCCATCCCCTTCCGTGCTTCCCCCCATCCCCTTCCCTGCTTCCCCCCATAATCTCTGCCCAGGTGTCCTTCCTATCCCTTCCGCTGGCAGCTTTCCCCCTCGCTCGTTGGGAAAATGCCCGTCGCAAGTGCGGGCGCTGCAAGTCGGCCGACCTTTCTCATTCTGTTCCGCCCACCCTCTCCCATTCCGTTCTGCCGCCATCTTTCATCCTTCCCACCCTCTCTCTCCCTCCTCCCGCACTCTCTCTCTCTCCTCGCACCCGCACTATCTCTCTCCTTCCTCCTGCACTCTCACAATCCTTCCCACCACCCTCAGCCCTCCTTCCCCCCACCCTCTGCCATGTTCCCACCTGCCCTGCCCTCCCTATCCCTGCCTTTCCCTCCCAGCCCTGCGCTTCCTTTCCCCATCCTTTCTCAACCCTTCCCTTCCTTTTCATGCCTTCCCCTTCGCCCTTACTCCTCACCTACCACTCTCTAGTTCCCATGCATGTGGACCCATCACCGTCTCCCCGTACACGCTTTCATCATGTGCCCTTGCTGTTGCCGTTGGTCCCTTGCACCTCACACCACCTCCCCCATGTTCCTTCACACAATTCTTTCTGCCTTCTCCATTCCCCTATTTGTCAGAGGTGAAGCAAAGGAGCAACAATTGCTAGTTGAGGCGCAGCTAGTCGATACTTGTTAACACCACATGTTACGTGTCTGTTATATGCCCGCATCGTACTGTATTACTGTTGGAGATATGCATCCCGAAGGCACACTATGTACGGTACTTTTGTTTCTGCAGTGCAAGATATTCTTCTAAGATGCATAGGCATGTACGCATGTTCTACTTATGATTGTAGGCAAGGGTCAAAGGGAAGCAATACATATACGACTGAACCTTTCTCAAGGCCCTGGAAAAAAAAACAGGAGGGGAACTGTAACTCTACCAGTATGGGATGGGATGATGGGTTGAGGTGAGTTGAAGTACCAGAAAAATCTTCATTGTAGTTACTGCAATAGCCAGGGGGAAGGAGAGAATACAAGGAGGGAAATGAGATGAAGCAGGGAGGGAAATGAGGGGAAGCAAGGGGGGAAATGAGAGGAATCAGGGGGGGGAATCAGGGGAAGCAGGAGGGTACAAACATGGAAAGCAGGGAGAAAACTGGGGTGAAGCAGGGAGGGAAATGAGGGGAAGCAGGGGAGTAAATGAGGAGAAGCAGGGTGGAAAATGAGGGGAAGTAGGAGGGATAATGAGAAAAATCAGAGCTCGAAATGAGGGGAAGGAGGGGGAAAAAATGAGGGGAAGGAGGGGGGGAAATGAGGGGAAGGAGGGGGGGAAATTAGGGGAAGCAAAGGGGGAAACAATGAGAGCAGACGAGGAAACGAGGGGAAGCAGCGGGGTAAATGAGGGGAACGAGGAGAAAGGGAAGCAAAGGGAGGAATGAAGGGAAGTAGAGCAAGAAACGAGGGGAAGCAGAGGGATAAATGAGAGGAAGCAGGGGAGTAAATGAGGGGAAGCAGAGGGAAGAATGAGGGGAAGCAGGCGGAGAAATGAGGGGAAGTAGGGGAGGGGAAGGAGAGGGGGGAATGAGGGGAAGCAGACGGGGAATGAGGGGAAGCATAGACAAAAATAAGGGGAAAGTAACACGTGGGAATGAAAGTGCAGGGAAGCGAGGGCAACGGATGGGCAGGTGGGAGGAGGGCAGCGGGAGTGGAGGCGTGAGGAGGGGCAGCGCGATGAGGGTGCAGGTGCACTGAAGGCAGGGGATGCGTGGCAAGGTGAGCGAGGCGCAGGGAGGCGAGCGAAGGAGCTGCGAGGCTAGCGGAGGCGCTGCGAGGCTAGCGGAGGCGGGGCGAGGCTATCGGAGGTGCGGCGAGGCTAGCGGAGACGCGACGAGGCGATCGGAGGCGCGGCGCCGCGAGCAGAGGCGCTGTGAGGCAAGCGGAGGCGCGGCGAGGCGAGCGGAGGAGCGGCGAGGCTTGCGGAGGCGCGGCGAGGCTAGCGGAGACGCGGCGGGGCGAGCGGCGGCGCGACTAACAGAGGCTCCCATGAACTGAGGGTCGGCGTGACGATGGGACAGGAGGCGTGGCGAGGTGAGGCGCGACGACGGGAGGCGAGGCAATGGGAAGCGCGACGAGGGGAAGAGCTCGATGAGGAAGGGGAGGCTAGACTTGTAGAGCGGCTACGTATTCTATCCTTTGATGCGCTGTCGAGATGCTTTTTCTTCGTATATTGTTTCTAGCCCGAAATTAGTGAGGTTGGGCTTACACACTCCATGGTTTCTCCTCATTCGGTTGGGTTGGTTTGTCGCACGCTCCAACTGATGTTGAGTGACGACTGCACAATCTCCTCGTTGCTCATTTCGCTTTCGCCACGCCCATCTTCCCGAAGTGAACCTTTTTTTCATTTCGCCAATACGGTTGAAGCCCTTTAATAGTTTTGGCAAAAACCATGCTGACTTCGGGCTTTAAAGTGGCAGTCTACATTCATCGGGGTATTTTGGGGGTTTATTTAAAGCCCGAGGTGAGCATGGTAATCTTTCAAGTTATGTGAGGTTGAAATAGTGTTGGCTAAACCTTGGAAACAAAAAATTCGACAGTTAGTGTAGCGAGAAAGACAGCGAGTGACAAAGGGGAAAGGGGTCTCGCCAAACGTGACGTGATGGTGAACGATAATGTGCAGCTTGCCAAACTTGCAGAACAAAGAACTGCGACTGGAAGGAGTGTCGCAAGGATTTTTGCTCAGCCAATCAGGTTCAAGTTGGGGAGAACGTCCACACACAATGCAACTACACCTCTCCCTCGGCAGTTTCAACACCCGCGCTGCAGGGGGACCTGTTTGTCGTTTTGGGGCTTGTTGAAATTGGAGGGAACCAAGCAGTTCCCTCCAATTTCAACGCCTCGCCCCATGATATTTACAGGCTGAGTCAGAGTTGTAAATGCCCCGCTAACTAGGATTCACGCGGGCATTTCTCGAGGGGCTTGGAATCACTCGTACAAGCCCCTTGCGATTGTGTGATTTCGTATAGAGGGACATTTTTTGCGTGTCAAAAACTACAAAAACCTCAGAAACCAAAACAACAAAATAACCATTCTAATGTAATTATAAATTGTCATTAAGGTTTCACATTGAAAGCATTCTTGAAAATACGAATTACCGTATCAAACGCAGCAAGCAGCACGAATCCACACACGATCCTCAGAAATCACACCATGACGTCGGCGCAAGGGTTCATGCTCAAACAAAGGCCCCAAGATCCTTGCCATTCGCGAGTTTGTCATCATCTCCTCCAACGCGCGCAATGCCCACGCACGCAAAGACGTGTCACTAGACTGCTCAGGGGGGGGAGCATCGTTCAGATCAAATGGTTCCCCACATCCATGGGGGAATGGTAACCAACGGCCAACACGTGCCCTCCTTGGCTCGTTCTCCTAAGACCCATGCGTGTGAAGCAAGTTGTCGCACACAATGAATTGGCGGGCTGTCATAGACGTGCCATCGATGTTTAGCTTCCCAATGAGCTTGGCTACTGAAGTCACATCATCGTTGGAAGGGTCGATGAAAGGCCCCTCAAATATACTTGCAAGGCCCCACTCCTCCAACTACGTATACAGTACAATTCCGACCCTCCGCCAACAACGACGCACGATATCAAACTCAAAACTTTGCCATGCACCACTAATCCACGTGATCGCCGTACGCAAGTCCGTACGAAGGTCCTTCTTAGTGGTTGGTATGTCACGCCCTTCACCGACATCGATTTCCACCTCCTCACCTTCACACCCCGCATCCGCCTCTATGGTGCCCGCTTTGTCATACTTCTCTAACAACCACTCCACAAACATCTTTCGATATCTCAACTTGAGTGTCGAGATAACACCTTGGTCTAATGGTTGGACGTGGGACGTACAACTGGGAGGCATGTATAGAACGCGGACATTACCAACGTCTACATACTTCATTCCGTAGGTGAACCCCTCGATGGCAAAGTCAAGGTTGACGATGTTGTGGGAGGACTTGTTGTCCACGAGCAAGATCACCTTCTGATCCGAATTCTTCATCTCGGCTTCAAATGTGTCAACCCATTGTGTGAATATTTATGATGGGGTGCGACGGAAATGGAAGAAAAGCATCAAAAATAAGCCATGCCACTCTCGTTTCAATGGCATAGTGACAAAAACATAATGGCATAACGACATGTTGCCTTACACATCAATCATTACCTCACTAGTCATCCAAGCTTTCTTGTTTGCTCTGTACCAAACGAAGTCCTGAACGTGGAAATTGTTCTAGAAGGATCGCGGTCGTACCGACTTTCCGATGACGATGGGCCTCCTAAAATCGGAACTGTCGGCGTTTACGCAAAGTCCTAGCGTAAACCTCTCCTTGTCCAACTTTCCACCGGACACAGGCTCAGTGGCGTACATATGACGTGGCTGCTGCCCTTGTAATAACCCTGTCTCATCAAGGTTGTACAAGTCCCATGCCTCTTACTCTTTGAGAATTTTGGGGAGATTTTCTCTCGCTATGGCTATGGCCTCCTTGTTAGCATCTAACGCCTCCCCCTTGCGTATGTATGACGTCACGCCCATACGCGCCAATGCCCTGCACAACCACCCATTGCTACATGCAAATTCTTTAGGCATTCTCATTTGCTTCGCTAGCTCCTGTGCCTTTGCTTGAAGGATATGGAACGTGATTGGCATATTGGCGGTGTTCTGTTTAATCGCCCATTCGCAAAGCCTAGACTCTAGGAGGGGATAGTAGCCTGATGTATGCCTCTTCCGGGTGTCTAAGAGAAGGGTGGGCTTTAGCCATGCTCTGCCTATTTTCAATATCTTGGAAACGGTGGTTTTACATGGCGTTTTCTGGAAATTCACATCCAGCCATTTCACGAGTTGCTTCAGAGTAAGGTCTGGGTTAGCAATGTGGTACAAGACTGGCGCCCATTTTTTGCCGAGAGTAAGGGCCGTGTTTCTACGCTTGGTAGGCATAATTACATGTTAACTAGAGGTCTAGGAGCTCAAAAGTCGTTCTGAATGTCGAATGTGTTCAGTGTGATGGAA